TGACAGCTGAAAGTTGTATAGCATGTTTTCAATCATTTTCTTAATAATATGCACAGTTGCACAAGAATTTATCGATTTAGGCCTAGTTGAAGACGCAGTGGAATGTTAGTTTAGAGAAGATTGTGATCTGGCGTTTATTCTAGGTTATAGATGGTATTTTGAGGGCTTTAAAGAATCTTACAAACGCTTACTTGCATTTTTCAAAAAGATTAAGTCATCAACTAACAAAAATTTTGTTACTTTTATCATTTTTATGCACTGAATTTTATCATAGCGGCAACTAAATAAACATAAAATACCATATATATATAGTATACGCAATCCAATATCTTTTCACAGCACACGTCTCTATGTTTTTTTAATTATTGCAAAAATCCTTATGAATATGTATAAGATTAAAATAATAGTAATAATACACTAAGAAAAATAATTTGATTTAACATTATCTTACTATTTAGCTAATAAATCTAAAGCTAGAAGACAGATAAATACTTTCCCTGTTTAAAAGTTATTTCTTAAAATTCCTTTTCATATTTTCTCTTCCTATCTTCCTTTCATCTTAATAGACATACCTTATTGGAAAAAATTACGCAGATAGAGACCGTAAAATAAAAAATATTTATGAACAGGAAACTTATTGAATAATTTAATATATAATGAATTATTCAACATATTTGAAAATACTTTGTATATTTAAGGAAAATAATTATTATATTTCTTAAAATAGATTACATTCATAAACTTTTACTTTATAATAATTTTTAATATAGAAAAGTAACTTTATCTTTCTTTGTTTTTATATCTCTTTCAACTTTGATATATAATTAGTCAAATAACTATGTTAAAACATAGGGAAACAAAATAAAAAGATGATTACTTGTTAATCTGAGTATCTAACTGCTAAAATAAAAAAGCGTACTAATGGAGAGTAAAATAAAATGTTTATAAAAGTATAATTTCCTTTACTTTTTAAGAAAAAGAAAGGGAAAACACAAGATTCCCTTCACGGATGGATAGGCATTATTTAGAAGACTAATAGCTTCTGGAAAATACGTAAGAGGACAACCAAAGGTTTTTTAGGTTTGTGTGCGTTATCCGATATAAATAATAAGGTTATATAAATGGATACATTTAAAAAAATTGATTGTACTAACATTATCTTTTCACTAGGTGTATATGTATATATATATATATATATATATATATATATATATATGCATTGTATAGTGATATTTATATCACTAAACTCAATTTATAATAATTATTTAAGTATAAATCTTTGAACATGCACAATTTAACAATCATCCTGTTTGAATAAACAGTTTCTGATCATAAAAGGGATAGAATGTTCTGCAATTTTTTTTAATTAAAATAGATTTTTTTACACTTAGTGCGGCAGGAAATGCCTTCATAAATCCAAGTAAACTTCACCAACTTTCTTAGGTTAATGATAATTTTACTTTTCTTACATTTTTAAAATGTTACGCTGACAGACAAAAGAGCTTTAGTATATTTTTTTTAATTTCTTTTATTGAAGTTAACAGTAATTTTAACAAAATTTAAATTATGTGCATTTTTTAGGGTTCTGTTTCTTCGAAGGCAGGAATTTAATTATTCTCCAGAGTTCGAGAGATCTTACTAAATTCTTAGCTTTTGTAATCACTGCCTGAAACAGTTCTAAATGAAGATTAAGGCGAGAATTAGTTGTTCTCTTACAAACTTTACACTTATTCGTCTATTTATGATAAATTTTATTCTGTTTTTTAATAAAAAAAGAAAAAACAGAAAAAGAAAATGGTTGCTTACAAAACAACAGATTTGCTTCGTCATTTGTAATCGTAAGTTATTCTAGCCTAAGCAATCGTGAATTACATAGGCCTAGAAAGATGAGCCCTGAGGCCAATACCCAGGGGCTTTTATGCATTCATAGCTATGCTTTTAATCATTGTAAATTTCAAACAATATTCCGTTTCTGTTATATTGTTCTCTAAAAGATAGCCAAGTTCCATAGAAATATGGAAGTGGAAAAACTAAAATTGTTCCTCATCCTTTGGTAAGACGATGACTCATAACGTATTCGAACTTATTTACTGACAGATTGCTCGATTACAAACTAAATACTAGAAAAACTACAGTTATAAAAGTAATATTAATTGTTTATTAAATATTTATAATACAAAACGAAAGAAGGAAACCAGAAAAGAAGAAAAAGACGAAGAAGAAGAAGAAGAAGAAGAAGAAGTAGTAGTATTAGTAGTGATGGCAGAAGAAGCTGGCACGAATTATAGGCCCATACAAACAGGAATCGTAAGGAGGCGAGGAATAGTAAATAGTCATTGTACACAAGTGAAGAGGCTACTAACGATTTTTACTTCTCGGTATTTAGTCACTTGACTGTTGTGTTTGTTTGAAAAAGTTTCTAATATAATCGAGAAATTCTTGCTTAAAATTAGTTTCTTTATTCTTAAATAAATAATAAAATAATCAAATTATAAAAATTACCAATTATTAATATTTTTCCCTTTTTAAAATAGATTTGTTTCTCTAATAGACTCTATAATTAAATATAAAGAAGAGAGAGAGAGAGACAGACAGACAGACAGATAGATAGATAGATAGATAGAGTGAGAAAAAACATAAAATAATATTAAAAACCGGGTTTTTAATACGTTTATAAAGTTTATCTCAAAAAGAAAATATTCATAAAAACTTATTGAAATAAGTAGTAACTTTTCTTCTTATTAACTTTTTTTTCTTTTTTTATTACAAGAGTTTTTATTCATTTTCTTTTGGATGAGAAGCAAAAAAAACTGTATACAATAATAATAAACTCTTAAATATATTGTAGAATATAAATATGTATTTGAAATATTTATGATTCTTTCTTCTTTTTTCGAAACGTATTTTCCTTGTATTGGATTTCCCTTGAAATTATGTATTTAGGAATGAAACACAATATTTGGATGTTATTATTTCTCTTATATCTCTCACTCATTTTATAATAATTTATTATTTAAACAAAATAACTGGTAAAGTCGAAAATCGGATTAAGAAAAGATGATTATATAATTTTAATAAATATTATATTGTTGATATGAATAAATATAATAGATGTATGTATTCTTTTATAAATGGGGAATAATTTTTTAAGAATATGCACCCAGTTCTTTTTCGTCCTCCTCTTTTAAGTACGGAATTGTTGGCAAAAGAGAAAATATGAAAAAAAAATCATTTTCCTATTAATTAAGAAAGCGATTCTTCCTAAATAAATCAATAAGCTTTCAAAAAGAAGTTTAATTAAAACAGTCTTTTATAAATTGATTTATATAGAAACTTTTTTCATAGACCATTTCTTCCTATAGCAGCTTAAAAGACCTAAGACAATCTACTTTTAAAAAATTATACAAGTTTTTCAGATAGTACACACTGTATAATATAGACATATATACTCAGCATTTTACCCTTTTGCCAAGTAACTTTTAAGCTGTTCAGATAAGAGAAACAAGTTTAACATTTAAGAAATTATGATAAAATTAATGGCCAAGATTTTTGCGAACTAGAAAATATTTTATATATTTTTTTTTATATTTCTATTTATTATTAATTCTATTTTTAAAAGGATGATTCAGTGTTTAATAATAATCTATAATATAACAAATTGAGGCTGTTTATACAGAATAAAAATGAAAAAAGTGATCTTTAAAACTATTAAAATATATAAATGAAAGAAAGTGTAGTTTAAAGTATTAGCAGCCGGTTAAGAGTTTGAATGCATCTGTCGATTATTACTAGTTTTGTACTGAATTCATAATTTGTTGTGTTTACGAGTTAGTTCACGAAAACCGTTTGATAGAATCCAATCAACTAGGCGGTAACAAAATTACGGAATTGCAACCAATTTCATCTTTCGAAAAGACTTTCAACAAACCCTGTAAACCGCGTATAGAATTTCGAATCTAAAAAGTTCCTTGTTTCTATACACACCAATTAAACTGTCATTCATCAATATATCCTCTTTTTTATTAATACCCTCCAGTTACCTTGATTTTTTTTCTCCGTCATTTTTATTGAATAAATCGCCTAAGGTAATTTATAAATATTCCATATATATAGTGAAAAAAAAATAAGAAATAAATCGCTGCGTATGCCTAGACTATCGACGAAGCAATAAAATCCATCAACTACACCGTGTCAATTTCAAACCGTGCACTCAGCTTATTGGAGCATTGAAAAAAAATTTAAGGATTATCTTACTCATTTTGAAAATGTCGATAAGAAAAACAGCTGTACGAAATCACCGCCAGCCGTCCTCTTAAACTATTAACAAAACTGAGGAAAAGGGCTAAAGAGAACTAGAAAAAGACAATTTTGCTAAAATTCTTTCTTCTTTGATACTTTCCATCCAGTATAATGGTACGCATTGTATCAACACTGTATACCACTTACATATCTAAATATACGTCAGTTTCGTACATAAACGTACGAACGCGTATATTGCACTTTCTCATTCGGTCATTAAAAACTCAACAAATATCCGATTTTATTTATCAAATATACAATTTTATTAAAGAAACCAGCCGATTTAGCGTTCTAAGAAATTTTCTTGGAGAAATTCGCTTAGGAATGTTGAGTTATATACAAAGATGTTTGCTCGTAGTTCTGTCAATCTATTTTAATTTTATATGTGTCATATAGCATCGCCATCTGCGGCTTCTATTTTTGATTAAATATTATTTAGTTTTGCGCCACCTTTCGGTCATTAACAGGTCTTTAACACTTAATTAATGAAAAAAAAGGTAAAAAAACATTATTTTGGAAGAATTTTAAACGTAAAGTTTCAATAAGAAAAAAACTATTTCTATTTAATATTCTCCTCATCATTCTAAACACTTTTTAGTATGTAACAGAGTTGTAAGCCACTCGAGCTTCGCTTAAACTTGCTAAGAGTTCTAAAGCTCAGGAAAATTTGGTTAAATTAAAATATTTATTTTTAAAACGTTTCTCACAAAATTCCTATGGATCTTAAAGTTAATCTTTAAATGTCAAACTTTATGCTTTTATTCAAGTATTCAGTCTTTTTTCTCAGAAACAAAATACATTGACACAAATGCGATTATCTGTGAAGTAGTGATAAAGAAACTTGCAAAGAAAACCTCTGTAGAAGTACTTAAGTTCATTAGAGGTGTTCAATATATATAAATATATATATTTAGCTTTGTTAGTCTTGAGTTTCTTTGCTCGACTTGCTTGAAATAGGTGTGGCTGTTGAACTTCTGCTCAGCTGGAAAGCCCATTTCTTGATAATCTTCTCAGCTGCAGCTAGTGTTTCATCTTTCTGTATTATTTTTACAGTACCATTAATAGTTTTTTGAATTATTGACTCAATAGAATGTATGCGAAACCTTAATAAAACAGAATCTTATCATATTCTCAACCAGTACTTTATGATCTTGGCTATAGAATGCGCTTGGTGGTATTCCGGATAGTTTCTTATAAGACAATAGAATAAGTAATAAGAAAAGTGCGAACGTTCATTGGATAATTTATCTTATTAAAAATACCTTATTTGCTATCATCCATTTAACAAACTGATAATCTTTCGGTTCGTTTGAATCTCCCAAGTTAATTTCGGGGCTAGCATTCATTAAACCAGAATAATCGGCAATCATAAAATACCCTCCGTCAGGTATAATGGGCTTCATCCCAACTTCTTGTAAACATTTCGCTAAGAAATCTCGCTTCGGCTGCAATTCCCTGGCTAATTTTAATAAATAACAATCTTTACAGCCGCTTCCTAACTTTGGAATTTCTCTTTCAACCGCCATAGCAATAGCCTCCTACAGATTTAATGACGAAGAATTATTAAATTTTATAATGAATTATTTGCATAAAAATAAGAACTTGTAGAGGAGTAGGGCAAGTATATGAACAATTTTGATGTAACACCGAGCAAGCCTTAACTAAATGCGGTGGTCCGATAGTCCAACCCAATTTCCAGCCAGTTACCGAGAAAGCTTTTCCAGCGCTACTAAATGTCAAAGTTTGGTCGTACATACCAGGAAGATTTGCTGTTTTGAATATGAGAAAATGGAAATAAAATATCTTAAAAATAAATCGAAGTCTTCTGTTTTTCATTCGGAACTAAATCGATCTTTCTTTTATTTCATTGAGAAAAGTAAGAAAGTAAAAGTCATTTAAAACATTAAGCAGCGGGATTAACTCTATAATATACAAAATCTTTATATTTTTCGTATTTCTTAAGAAATATCGATATTTATACCTTCCAATCTTATATAATAAAATTTATTGAATTCTCGCCCTCTCATTTCTCATCTACAGTCTTCTTAATATAAATTATCTTACGCTATACAGAGACCTGCACCGGTGTAGCAGCTGCGCAAACAGAATTCTGATGAACAGTCCTAAGCGCGTGTATAAAATAATCAGGCCCTATAACCCATCCTACTCTCCACCCGGTTATCATCCATGTTTTCCCAGCACTTCCCATTGTTAAAGTTCTTTTCCACATATCAGGTAGAGAGGCTGATAAATGATTTCGTTTAAAACGTTTACCAACTATCTCAGAGAATATCTTTTAGTCAATAGATATTTCTCAATTTTTGTTTTTAATACAAATTCATATTTGTTGCTTTTTTTATTTACAAAAAATATAGCTTACCTATCTTTATGTGTTTTTTATCATCGTATATAAGCCATTCATAAACTTCATCGCTAAAAACGATAGTGTTATATTTTTTGCATAAATCAGCTATCATTTCACATTCTTCCATGGAATAAACCTACAATGTTTATCAAAAGAAAAACTAATTAAAAGATAATAAAGTTTTTTTAAACTAGTTATATTATATCTGTATAAATTCCCGATAGAAAGAACGTACTTTGCCCAAAGGATTGTTTGGATTATTAAAGAATATGGCTTTAGTTTTATGCGAGAATTTCGAAGACAATTCCTCGTAGTCTAGACAGAACTCCGAACTTTGAAAAGATGCCCTCTCAGCATCTTCTGGTTTTTCAATCTGTATTTTTTGTTGTTAGATAAAGGTTCTCTATTGAAATTAGAGTCTTTAGTAAATATTATAGTACAAACCCTTCTTAGAGGGACAAAAACTGGTACACCGCCAGCAACTCGAACCATAGGCTCGTAGCAATCAAAAAAAGGTTCAATAATAATTACTTCATCTCCAGGATTAATAAGTCCTTGAACAGCACAGAATAAACCTCCATAGGCACCAACTGATATGAGAATTTCATTCATGGGGTCAATAGGGTGATTCATAAGTGGAGAGTACAAATCGGCTAAAGCTTTGACCAATCTTGGATGTCCGTATCCTTTGAAAGTATTACAGGCTAGTATAATTCCTTACATTGAAATTTTTGTCAAATTATAATCACCTCTAGTATATTGGTTTAAAAAAGGATTATCACTCATTACAGCTTCTGCAAGAGCTTTTTTAACATATTCAGGCGCATGAAAATCTGGGAATCCCTAGATTTTATAAAAGAAAAATAATCAATATACTGTATTTTATTGAGTAGAAAAATATTCTCTTTATTTGCTTACTTGTCCTAAATTCAAAGCTTTTTCCTTAACAACTAAATTTCCGAATTCAACCCTATATTAATTTTAAATTTCATAACATATTAACAATTTTGAACAGATTTAACAAATATAAACAATAAAAAAAGTTTATATTAAAGTCTTTTTAACAAAAACTAGCTAAAGAGACGCTTATATTAACTATTTACTTGTCCTAAATTCAAAGCTTTGTACTGGGTACACAACTTTCCAAATTCAGCCCTTTAATAATTTTATTGAATATATTGGTTTTTGTTTTGCTTCGTAAAATTGAAATTCTTACTCACCAAACATTTTGATCTGTCCCTTGTAATCTATCAGCCAATCCGTGGTGTGCCATTTTCTTTTCCTTTAAATAAAAAAGTAAAGGAAATAAAACTTTAATCAGTTTGATATTATCTTTTATAAGTTAATCTAGAGACGATTTACTACAACGTTAAGTGCATATTAAGTACCAATTGCAAAATACGAAGTAAAAAAGGAAAATAGAGGCGTTCTAGTTTAGAAGAGCAAGGTAAGACAACTTATTGTAATACAAAGTAATTCAGTTTTTAAAGGGCGCAAGGGCAATTTCATTTGGGAACAAAATCAAGTAAGCTTTATTGTCTTGCATCAATAGTAAATCTGATCTAATAATTGACCATCCAAAAAGGTTTTGTTACTTTTCACTTTGATATTACGTTTCTTTGACAGTGGAAAACTACTGGGACAAAGTAATTGAATGTAACAAATAACATAAAGGAAACAAACTTATTAGCTTAGAACCAAAGTGTTTAATCCACTGGAAGAAACTATTGACTAGCTTTCGGAATAAAAGTTTATTCAATTATAAAATAGTACGTTCCCCAGAATTATAGCCATTCATAACCCAAAAAAAAATAGAAAAGCCAGATAGAAAATAAATAAATAAATAAATAAACGAGAGAGAGAGAGAGAAAGAGAGAAAGAATAAAATTCTCAGTTAGATTTTTCTCTTCTGTATAAATCGTATACAGAAAAATAAAAAATCTTTCATTCACAGGGGAAAATTCGAAACACGTTAAGTTAAAAAGTCAGTACAGGAAATAGGCTTTCTTTTAAATAAGGCTCTAAAATTTGATAGATAGTATAGATTCTTTACAAATTTACTTCAATTTAATTGGAAATAATTTCGGTCAATATTAAAAACAAAAAGAAAAAACAAGAACTACTATTTTGCGTGCAAATTTTTACGGTGGGTTAACAATAAAGGAAACCTTAAATAAATTAATAGTGAATGAGTAAAATCAATAAATAGGTTCAAATATATAATATATATCTAAATATATATATATATATGTATACTGTATATTGTTTACAACTAACTTTTCCTCATTCACTAGCGGTTTTCTATTAAATTTTACCAACCATGAATAAACTTGATACAGATTTTCTTAAAAATCCCAATTGTTTTGATTTTATTGCCGAACGAAGCATAATCTAATCTTTTTATCATAATAATATATCTTTTAATTACAATTTTAGTTATATATGCATTTATTAGCGTATTAACGTCTGTCATCTGACATTTATTAATTTCCTCGTTTATCGCTCAGAAATTCTTCAAATAAAGTCTAGCTCATACATGGAGATATATATTTGTCATAGTTTAGATTAATTAAAATTGTATAATAAATATTATAAAATAACTACTTTTTTAGATTATTTGATATTTATCGGCAATCTTGAGAAGAAACAATGTTCTATCTTGTTCAATAAAACCAGTTCTATAGTGAAAATACGCAGCGAGATTATATTTTGGCAGTGACTTTAATTGGCGCCAAAATTTTAAATATACTAATTTTCAGAGAGATAAAGCACACTTACAGAGAATTTATTACACCACTTTTATAAACCTAAATAAATACTTCTTTTGAGCGCATACTTTGATAGAAATTCAATATGTCTGAATTTTTACCAACGATTCCATCAGTAAGATCATTTCTTAAGATAATTAGAGAAGAGTTTCTATATAAGAAAAAAGAGGACAGACTAGATATAAGGAAGAGCGTATTAAGATATGAAAAATATTGGATACCATTGCTTAAAAAGGTTGAAATAGATTTAGAACCACCTGATGATGTTCGATTAATATGGTTTTGCCGTTTGCTCGATTCCTGGGGACAAGAACAGACAGATGAAACAAAGTAATGTTTTTCTTTCAAAATACATCAATAGTTTTACTGTTAGTTTTTATTATAAAAGAGAAAATAGATCAATAATAGGGGAGAAATTTAATGCAAAAAATATTTAAATATTATATATTATTAAACGATTTATAGGGAAAATCCAGGTTATAAATTTAAGGATAATGAATATGACACATGGTTTGCTCAGAGACGCACAAAGTTTCTTTGGGAGAAAGAGTATCCAGAAGAAATTTATGACAGTAGAAAATCGACTGAAAAGAAGTCAAATGGAGCTTTGAATAGGGAGGAATGCAAGATTAGGAAAATATTCGATCTTTTGGAATTTTTAGCTTATCAGACAGAATTGCAGCATTACGGTGATATTCGATTTATATCTGATTCCTTCAAAAGATATCATGATTATATGGAAGGGTTGATTAGCAATTCGGATGACTGCATAACTTTGAATACTGCACCAACTTTTGATGTTTTTCTTATCTGGCTTGTACATGCCATTAATCCATGGTTTTATAAAATGTTTTTAATGGAAATTTCATCCAAAACTAAATATTTTTCTCCATTAAAGTGATAAGAAATAATATTTTATTCTAACTAAAATTCTTCATTATGAATGCTTTAACAGCTTCCTAAGAATTAATTAATCAGCATGTGTCTATAAATTAAATTTACGAATTTTATACATTCAACAGATGGTTACAAGTAAAAGCAAGTAAAATAACTATAAAAAAAGATAGTAAAGATATATAGATACTAGTGCCATCTCTAATTTATAACTCTGTTTTTTTGTTCTACAAAAGGTCATTTCAAAAGTTCTTTATTTTGCGAAAATGATTCTAATTAGATTTAATACTAATTAGATTTTACTGTATTATATCTATATATATAGTTTAGAAATATGGAATTGATTTCCTCGAACTATTTGAAAACTGCAAATTGAACAGTTTCTAATTTACCACCATAGTGGAACAATAATTATACTGTTGGATTGAAGTAATAATTTCTTATCACTACTTAGCCATCTTGTGCATGCCGTTAAACATTGTCTATCATCTTCTTGGTCCTTGTTTAACGATCCTATACCAGGTACGTCATTCAGGGGTTATAAGTATAACTTTGAATTAGAAAGTTATGAAAAGTTACCAACAGTTGGAGATACAGCTAAAATTTATTATGTTCAATTCAAAAGTTTACTATTAGAGAAGTGCTGGACAAGAACCAAAAAATATGGCATAGATATCAAACTATTTGGTACAAGTATTCTAGAGCAAAGAAAGTTCAACAGAATTAAAGTTAAACTTGGAAAAGTAGAGTTATTATATGGTTTTAAAGTTATCTTTCATTCAAAATACCATAGGGGTTTTGAAGTTGAAGTGAAAACTTGGAAAAGATCTGGTTTAATTAAAAAGTCCATAAGCGTTGCAAACATGTTTTTTAATCCATTAACCTCAACAGGATGTAAACTAGATCTAGGAAAATCCTCTCACGAAATACGCTTACCAAAAATGTCTAGTTGTGATCCGGATGTGACACTAATCTATGATTTGGAGAATCATGAGGATGCAGGTTCCCAATTTCTATTGTTTCGCGAACCATATTTTATATGTTCAGAGAGAAATTTACCATGGCAAATAATATATATATTGAGAAAGTTACCAAGTTGGAAACTATTTGAAAATATGAATATTGGAGCTTCGAAACAATTCTACCTCGCTAAACACAGTTAAGTTTTCATTTAAAAACATCTTAGATAAACAGTCTAGTAAACTTAGAAAAAACATATCATTAAAGTATTTCTTCGCTTATCACAAGAAAAATATGGGCAATTACTTAAAAAAAACATAAAGAATAATTATAAATTGATATATGTAGAGAAAAAAACAATACTATGCACATAGGCTTAAATCCTATTAATCTTAAAAATAGTACTAATTGACATAGTTATAACTAAAAAAAGAGTTCTTTTTTTCCTCTTTAGAAACGTTTTCATTATTAATAAAAAGAAAATTTTTTTTTTAAAAAAAAGTTGTTATAATTAAATTAAAAGGAAAAGAAAAAACTTATACTTTAAATAGAAAATGTATGGATATATTGAAAGTAATATATATATTAGAATATCAATATTAGTTCGATTAGTAATCAGTAACAAATTTAAATCACTGATAGTTTATATAGAATGATCAAATATACTAAATTTTACTAAATGCAATCTACTTAATGTCAAATATTTGACTGTAAAATTTAAAAAACAGAATATTTAAGATTAAATAACCAAATTTCTTAATGTAAAGCTAAGATATACCCGACAATTTAAGCCTTGAAGGCAAGCAGTTTTCGCATTAGTACTTTGCATACTTTTACAACACCCTGAAGGTATGATTTGAGCCATCATTTGCTCTACAACAGCAGCATCTATAATTTCTTTTGCTATTCCTATTTAGAGTACTTTCTTATTAATTTTATTAGTAAAAATATATGATATATCTTACCCTTATGTCTAAGATAACCATTTCTAATTTCTTGTGCATCCTTTCTCTTGTCTCTGTTATTTTTTACCATTACTAACTTTTTATAGATATCTTCCTTCAGATGTTTTTTATTCAATTCTTAATTTTGTACTAACATATAATAGATCTCTATTTATTGTATCTTTTAAATATTCAAATTGTACAAATTAAGTTATTATAATTAGCTATTTAAAAATAGAAAATAAACACAAACAACTTATTCAAAAGTCATTTAATTATCGAAATAGTAAACAATGATACTAATTCATTTACCTTAAACAATAAGATAATCGGATTTTAAGTTCAAAGACTCGAAAATGATAAACAAAATCAGTAGATTTTATCTTTTTTCTATGACAATAGGCTGAAAAGGCCCTGATTTACATACCAAGGACTTATTATATTATCTTCATTACGGTTAGATGACATGTGTATTGAAAATGTGTAGGTGGCTAATAACAGATCATACTTTCTCCTTAAACTAGTCACCGTCCTTCTTAACTCAGTTGTCCTGTCACTAGCCGAGAATTCGTATTATTACTTTTCAATTATGTAAAAACGAAAGTAAAAGATAAACAAGAGAGGTTTATAAGCTTGTTTTTTACGAAAAACAAAATATATCATTGATATTTGCAAAAATTCCGAAAAGGATTCATTATCTTATGAGGATGACATGTCACAAGGTAAACACCTGCATCAATTGCTCACTGAAGAAACTATGCACCACTAAAGTAATAACTAGAGTATTGCATATCCAACAAACTGATTAAATGTAAACAAACAGTGGTATTTTTAGAAAGTCCTTAATAATCAAAATGGCAATAAATGAAATTATTGAGATAATAGTTCAATACCTAATAGGTTTCCTTTCTAAAGTATCAATTTCTCGTACTATTTTCTTATGAGCTTTCTTACTTTCTCTTAAACAGATTAATGCTTAGAAAGGATAGCGAAAGCTCCTCATCGAACGCAATAATAGAATGTTTCATCTTTCATGCCCTCACCTTCTCGCATTCAGCTCTTCTCATTACAGTTGATGACAAAGCTATTTGCGTTGGCTATAATATAAATTCCGAAGAATTACCTCTTAAATACCAGGTTAACGAAGGTAAGTGTATTTAGGATACTATATTTTTCTTATATCAATATATGGGTGAATAATTGCATCCAAACGTCTATGTAAATTTTTATTTTGTTCGAATCTCCTATTTCATTTAATTACTAATTATAGAAAGGAAGGACACTAACTGTCAAGTATTAAAACTTAAAAATGATGATTGTTTATGCAAAAAATAAAGGGTTAGCAACACGTATATAATTTAACATTGAAGATTACGGAAAACAATCTGATAGAGAGTCAAAGATAAAGAAGGGTTTTATATTTTTGGCATAAAATTAGATCAAAATAAAAGATATATTTTTAGTTTGTTTCATTGTTTATTGAAACGATCATAATAATAAAAGTGGAAGGTAACTAATTTACTTGTCCTTTAGCACATGCAGTATACATTAACATTATAATTATATTCGTCTCTTTCTTATACATATTCTCAATCAATTACAACTAATTATTATAATAATAATTGCGCTAGGTACGTTATTTCATAGTGAACATAAAAGATCTATGGTCCTATCGAACTGTACTGGAACTACATCCATCCTGTCAGCATCTTGCCAAAAGAACGAAAGGGAACTTTCTATTGTTCTTAATAATCCAAGACAATCTAAAACTTTATCAACAAACCTTCGCCTCGACAATCAACTACTTCAGGTAGAGGATGTGAAGATTGATTTAATACGTGGAAGAATATTTGTTGATTCAGGAGTTGATGATGTTCTGGAACAAACTTTACTGGGTTTATGTACCTGTGTACTGTGGGTGCAAAGTTCTATTAATTGCGAAACAAAATCTTTAAAATCTAGTAGAAATTAATTAAAATTAAATCCGAAGAGTCTTTTTTTTATAAAAAAAAATAATAACTCTTATTTACAAAACAAAAATGTTGTTTCCTTTTTAACATATAGAATTTAAAGAAACTGACATATAATATCTCAACACGATCAATATTTAAATATCAAACTCGTAATAGTCTAATGTCAAAACTGTTCAAATTGCCATAGCTCTTTGAGAAACTTTTTCTCATTTTTACTTTATCATACTTCTCTGGAAAGAAGAGCCTAAGAAATATTTTATGATAAGAATTTATCCATTATATTCCCTTAAAATATAATAATTTCTACTAGAAGAAATACTCTCTTTACCCAGACGAAAAAGGAATAGATTCTCATCGGTAATGATGCAAGCATGCGGATATGAATTATCGGGAAAACAGTACGACGATACAGCGAGGAGAACCCAAAGTTGGAGTTATTTAGATATATATAATGATGATAGCAATCTATTTGACGAGGAAGAAACAAACGATGACGATATTTTTGCAACTTGTATTGACACTAAATTATAGATAGCTGTGTATTTACAAAACTACGTTTGCGTAGATTGCCGTGTTTCAACAACTTTACCATTAATTGCAAACTTTTATGATTTATATTTTGATTTTTAGACATTACTCTGCTATATTAACCGAAATATTCGTTATATTATCTACTTGTATTATTATTATTAATATTCATATTTTTCCTTTACGCTTATAGTTTTCACAGTTCTATTATTTATTATATTTTGTGATTTTCTAGTTATATGAAGGAATATTATACATAGCGTCTCTATTCCATTTCATTCTTACATCATTAAATAAATATAAGAAGATTAATTTGAATAAAAATGAATATCCAATGTAATAATAGTAAATTTATCAAATTAATAGAAATGTAATTGATTATATACAAAAAATTTCCATATATAAACCTCTAATTGTAACTAACTAAATAGAGAGTTCTATATACATTCCTTTCATAAACAAAATAATGCCATATCTATTATAAATCAAACAGATACTCGACTAAAATTCAACGACTTCTATGAAAATTCTATTCCGAATTACTCAGATATTTGTACATGAAAATGGAATTTATACTAACTTCTTCTTTTAGCTCTGAGGAGGAATTTTTTCATAAAAAGAGTTTAATTATTTTTGCAAATCATTACTAGAACAGCTATTTTAAGAGCAAGAAATCGCTATAGTACTATACTTCGTTTGTTTTTCATTATTTTTGTCTCAATAGCATTCTTAGATAGTTTCGTGTTACGCTAATCATAGTTTATCCTTGAAGTATAGTAGATAGTTGTTTTTCAATATCGAGGCGCTCTGTCATTATAACAGATTGTTATAACTCGTTAAAAAAATAACAGAGAAATATTCCAATTTTTTCATCGTAGAACGTATTTTTTCCCTGTTAACAGCAACATCAGCAAAGCAGTTATATTAAATATAATAATCCATATTGAACACTCCTATACAATTTTTATAAATGCAGTATATAATAGAGTTTCTACGAATTTCTATTAATTGCAAAATAATTCTTTGTTTTATACAATTTATATCAATTAAGTGTAAATTAAAATAATAAGGATGTATTAACAATTAAAATATTAAAAAAAGAAAACTTTTCACAATAGCATTATTGAAATATTGCGTCTCATTGTTCAGCTATAGATTAACATAATTGCACTCAGCAAAAACAATCTCGTGGAAACCTTTCACAAATACTCTTTGTCCAATATAATATACATATATACAATAGTTAATCATACCATAGGTTGTTTATTTGTCTTTGAAATAATAATCTATTCTTATAATTCATCAAAAATTATTCAGTACTTGATTTAAGGAAAAAATTACTCGAATGGCAATGATTAACATATTTTTATCAATCTGGGAAGCAATATCATCCTATAATGATTCTGAAACAGAAGGAAGAATAGAATTCCCATAATTAAAAAATGTCCCTATTATAAACCAAAGCAACCAGTAGAAAAACATTTCGACTCCTACTTGAAAAAATTTTACATTTACTAGATAAACTCTCCTTTTTTTCTACTCTAATAGTTTTCATTCGATCGTTCATTCATTCATTCAACACTATTCAATATTAACTAGTTAAATGTTTCTAAAAGCTGGATGATATGTCGAAAACAACAAGAAAATAACTGTAACATAAAAAAAATCTATTTATCTATTAATGACAAAGTAAAATTAAAAGATGCTCGCGGTCAAGTTTCAATTGAAGAACAAAACACACATAAGTAGAAGAGTGACATATACTCAGGCTAAATGATATTTACATCATTTATTTCCAAGAAATAAATTTTACGCTGCCACAGTAATAGAAATACTCAAAATGTTCTCTTCTGTTACTACAGAAGAATATACTATTGATGTATTTTATTTTTAACAGAAGAGAGTTTAAACTCATCAATGTCACTAATAAAAGACGAGAAATGCTATTGCTAAAGACAAATTATAGGTGAAAAAATCATTAATTTTTGTATTTATAGTCGCTTGAAATAAATGGAATATAATATTTTTGAGGCAATCGATATAGTCATAAAGAATTTCTTTATAAATACTTAGTAAGAAATCCAAAGTCTTACCTATTACCTATTATTTGACAAATTTGTTAGTTTCACCTATTGTTTATCGTAATGCTAATTATTTCTTGCTTAGTTTCTGTCTCTCTCATTCTCTCTCTCTCTCTCTCTCTCTCACTCTATCTACCTATCTATCTATCTATCTCTCCATACACTTACACTTACATGTTTCAGTTTCTAATTAATCCGTTTGATTAAATAAAACTTATCTAAAATAAATGTAAAGCAAAAACTAAAGCTAAATTACCATAAGAATACAGCTGAAAACTTAGAAAAAGCACAACGTACAGAACTAATAAACTAACTCTGGTTAAATTCCTAGAAGTAAGAGTATGTGGTTTTAATAATCTTGTTGAAGATTTATTGTGTGGTTTTTAAATTTTTCATTTGCTTAAAGCTCTTACTACTTTAAAATTGGAAATATTGATACAAGCCAAGAAAGGTATGAAAGAAGACAAATAGAATATAAGATACAAAATACAAATGAGAAGGTTTTTAAAGAGAAAAAAGCCATATGTTGCATTTAATTATTTCAATTCATTTGCTTATTAAAGAAATTGTATTTTTATTATATTCCAAAGAGGAGGCTTTATCGCATTAGATATTGAAGTTATTTATATCTTTATGCATAAATTATGCAAATTCAAGGAGAAAAAAAATATCCAAAAATTAATCAATTAGCAAAATTAAATGATGAAAAGAAGACAGAAAGGTGTATTGTTGAAATTAAACAGTAAGAGCTTTAACTATTAATTACTATATCACGAGAAATCAATATCCTATTTTTATTTGAAGATGTCTTATTTCTCACTCACAATTCTTTACAATTTCTGTACGTTTTATAGATAAAGATATAATAGTTTTTATTAAGAGATATCTCCATTTAGACTATAGGGTAGCAATTTGGATTATGATAAGTTAAAATTTCATTACAGATACTAATTAATTGTTTTTGAAGCCTCCAAAATAGCTTAATATTAAAACAGCTCTATGTTTTTGCTTGACTTTGATTTTATTTTTAATAAATTTTTTACATAAATTATATTCATATTAATATTTTTACTTGATTTTCCAGTTCAAAAGTTACAAAACACTTTACATCAAATATAAAATAACAATTATTGAACGCACAACGAAACGTTGTTTTTTATAGTCTCAACATTTATAAATAGAGTTTTTTTCTTCTTCTTTACTTAACATTTAAGCTATAAAGGAAGATAAAAGTACGCTAAAAAACGTATTGAGTAAACTTGAATGGGATTTTGTGAAAATGAATTAGGTATTTTTGCCAATGACTCGTCAATGTTTATGATTCATAAAATGTTATTATTATTTACAATTTTATTATGGGATTTTAACGATATATTTGGAAATTTCATGTCTGCACTATCAAAGGGTGGTATCCATCTTCCTCTGTGTTTCTTTTTCATTCTGTACAGACAAATGTTACTTTCTTGAATCTTTTCGTTCAAATTATTCTTCACTTTTCTGAATAATCTTTGCAGGGTCTTACGGAAGCGTTTAGTAAAAGCAATATAAAGAAAAAAGTTTATAGCAAAGTTAATGACTCTTAAAAAGTGAAAAATTTCTTTCAATATTCCAGTTTTTGACATGGAATTAAAGTGAATCCTGTGATACAGCCTACAAAAAAATATATATTCGTTATACTATTGAATTTTAAGCATTGCACACGACTCAACTTACGTCAAAGTATGGTCAGGCATATTAAGTACAATAAAGACCATTGAAATGAGCCATAACATCCTTGTTGTTTTCGTATGGGTTTGAAGTTTTCTTTTCCTTGAACAACTTTGAATCGACTTCAAGTTGGAGTCAATTGTTATTGCCGGCTTAAATTTCCAAATACAAAAACCAATGCTTATGTTAAATAATACAATGAGAATTCCAGGCAATATTAAACTCAAGGCCAGATCAAAGTATACCAACAGCTGTCCAAGCATATTTGAAAACGAGCACAATAGGAGGTCATCACCATCTACTGGAGATTTAGTCAGCTTTACGTGGTATGTATTGAAACAGAGAGAAAAGAGGCAAACCGATAGTACAGTTATTGTCAGAACAATAATTCTGTGTTAGAAAAAGAAAAGATAAGAAAAAATTGTTAATATTCATTCGAAAACATCGATTACTACAATAGACAAGATTTTTCAATGTTGAGCTAACGCTTAGTTCTTCTAAGAACAAGATAACTTAAGTAATAGATTTCTATTATTCATAGTAAGTGCTTAATACTGTATACTATTAAAAATCTTAACTTTACTGCTAAACCTATCTGGTCTATTAATGATTATTTTATAGTATCACATATCGTTCAATGTTTTGAGATATGCCACTCGATATATATGACTCCTTATAAACAATATATAAGATATTGATATATTTTATAAGTTTATAATGAAATTTGAAGGATCATTTGAAAAATAATCAAAAACATTGCCATCAGCCGACCATAAGGTTAAGCAAATTCCCTAAGGTTCAACTACCTCTTATATAGTGTGGCTTGGTTTGTTTACAATTTATTAATATTTGAAAAGGAAAATACATTGACAAAATATATACATATGTACTTATTTATATGTATATATGTATAAGAGACAAACTATATTAGGCATTTCAAACAAGAATGAATGATTTTTTATATTATGTACATATATAATAGAAATCCTATGAGTTGGAAGTAGTTTTAAATTGAAAATTACAAAAACTTTTTGAAATAAAAAGACTTGATTACAAACCTTGATCTTTTTAATGTGCACCAAGCATTCTTTTTGAATGGATATTTAACGACAATATAACGCTCAATTGTGAAAGACACTACAATCCAAACTGATAAACAAGGTCCAACATATGTCAACCAATGCAAAAATTTGCAACTTATATTTGATTGTTTAAAAATTGGAACTGTTATATCATCCCACCAAGTCAGCATATGTGGAAGAAGTGAACAAGAATCAGCAATGGCCAGAGCTGCTAAGTAAACACTCGATGATTGAGAGTTCAAAAGCGTTCCAGTGAATATAGCCGCTGCTAGAGTATTGCAGCTTATTCCTATGAATATAACAACTGGCATGAAATAGCATTTAATTAAATTCGTAACAAACAAATTAAGAGGATCAGCCGAAGCATTGTAGGCATAAAGAAAATAACTTCGTGTTTCGTTCGCTGCAGACATGTTGGTAAATGAGTGACACCCACCAAATGACGTCGCGTAATGTAAAAGTAGGTGGCGCTATTCATTTTCATTTATACCTGGGTTGTTATCCTTAGCTTACTGAATTGCAATTTAGCCTTAAGTTTCACTTTATTTTTTGTAGGATTTCGTTAATTACATATTCTCCACCTTGACAAAAAAGAGACTTTCATTTATAAAGTAACGTAGAACTAACAACAAAGTTTACAGTATTAGTTTTTTAAGACTTATTTTTGTATTACTTTTATAATGTAACCCATCTACATCTACCTTCATTACAGTGTATTTTAGTTCATATAGCGTTTATTTGTTTATATATAAATCTCTTGCATATTCATAAATGCATATGCTACATAGCTCGTTTAATCGTAAATACATTTGCCTATACTTTTTATTCATTGCATATCTTTCAACATAAATCTTGTTGTAATCATTAATATATCAATCAATTTATTATCGACCTTTTGGAATAAAACTATTAACTTTTCCTAAATCTTTACTTAAACTTTCATTTGAATAAATTTCTTTAATAATTATTTTATTATTAAAAATATTAAATAGAGTATATTCCTATTTTATCGATCACGTAACTATAATTCAAAGATTATAAATAAATCTCCTGAACGAAGATCTATTAAAAAATCTAAGAAACAAAGGTCAAATAAATGAGGATAAAAAAGAATGTATTGTAATTCAAGACAAACGAGAAAAATACTTGTTATACTCAATTAAATTTCCCTTTTTTTATATATAATTGTAATATTTACTTGTTTTAATAGATATTCAACATTCAACTATAGTTTATTAAAATCATAGAGTAAGTGTATACGAAATAATAATGGATTCGAAACTTTGCTGTTTTTTTTGTTGATATAAAAAAAATCTATTAATTTACGAAGACCTTGTGAATTTTTCTTATAAAGCTTCTAATATATACATAGAAATGTATATAAGGTTTATCTACAATGTCGTGTACAAATATATATATATATATATATATATATATATAGGTTTTTTATATATACTTATTATTATATCTGCACACTGTTTATCTGAATAGTATCAACTAGCTCGACAATACTGATATCGGTTTTTATTCTCTCTGAGCAACGAATACTGTACTCTAGTCTATTATTGACATTTCTAGGGTAAAATTTATTGAAATATATTATAATAATTGATTAATTAATTACCAAATAAAGCTTAATTAATCAATTAAAGTATCTATTAAAAACTTGAATTTCCATAGCCTAATAACACTGGGGTTTTTTTTATTTAGTATTATTTTATATATTTATTGGCATACATTAAAATGTTGTATATATTAGAGTCTAAATCAGTGGGAAAATCCAGGCAAAACTTTTGTTAAAATTCTGTAGTCTAGTAATATTTATTACAGATAGCAAGCAGGCCAGAAGCACTTTTGTTAAGAAATGTCTGACATTAAAATAGCAGATAGAATAAAAGGAACTGAAAAAAATGTCTGGTTTGTAATCAAGAAAAGTAAATCTACTAGATTTTTAATAGAAATTATTTAAATTAAGGGTTGAATTCACGGAATTGGTTTCCCAAGAAAATCCAGTAGATTTGGGACGGGTATGTATTACTTTGATGATGGACTGAAATGACATGAATAATTGTAATATTTTCACTCTTTTACAGGGTTTTCCTGATTTTAATCCTCCAGTTCACGTGAAGAATGCTTTAATAACAGCAGCCACAGATGATTCACCATTTATTCATCAATACGCTAGAGGTAAATTAGATTATTATTGCAAAAAAATCGAATTTAGTTATTCCCATGAAAGAGTTAGCTCTTTTGATGAATTTTATTTCTATCATCTACAGTTAAGGGACATAAAAGATTAGTTACAGCCTTAGCTGAATTATATTCGCCAATTATCAATCACAACATTGATTGGGCAACTGAAATTCTTATCACAAACGGTGCCTACGGAGCGCTTCATACGACTATTCAAGGATTAATAAATCCAGGCGATGAAGTGATTATTATTGAACCATTCTTTGATTGTTATTCGCCGATGGTTAAAGTTGCGGGGGGAACACCTATCTTTATTCCATTAAGAAAGGTCTTAAATAGTGTAAAATTATTCTTTCACTTCTATTTCTTATTTTATTCAATTTTTAGACAGAAAATACTGGAGATGTTTTTAAAAGTAGTGATTTTACTTTGGATTATAATGAATTTTCTTCAAAAATTACAAAAAAAACGAAAGCCCTGATATTTAACAACCCAAATAATCCAATTGGAAAGGTGATATAGAGGCATAATTAAGCATATACTATATCTATATATACAGTACATACTAAACTATTAATTAACATATTCAAATATTCATTTCTTACTAAAAAGGTATATTCATTAGAAGAATGTCAACAAATTGCGAAATTATGCAAAGAGAATAATATTATTGTGATTTGCGATGAAGTATATGAATGGATAACGTACGATGATAAAAAACATATTAAAATGGGTAAATTCCTATTATAAAAATTGAATAAATTTAGATATTTTCTATACTCGCAAAATTCCATTTTTTAACTTTTAATAGCTTCTCTTCCGGATATGTTTAATAGGACATTGACACTAGGTAGTGCAGGAAAGTCATTTTCTGTAACAGGATGGAAAATTGGTTGGATCATAGGACCTGTTCATCTAATGAAACCTTGTGTAGTTGTTCATCAAAATGTTACAAACTCTTGCTCAACACCAATGCAAGTTTGTTTTCTCTTCCTAGATTTATTGTTTTAGGATATCATTACATTTCTTATAATTCATTTAAAAATTTAGGAAGCGATCGCTATAGCTATGGAAACAGACTTGGGAAAACTAAGGAGAGACGATAGCGACTGCTATTTCAAATCTTTAGCCAAAGAGATGCAACCTAAGAGAGATTTGGCGGAAGAGTTTTTAAAAGAAACTGGATTTCATCCAGTCCGACCTGACGGTGGATATTTCATTCTCGTTAATTACACTGATGTAATGAAAAAATCATGTGTTACTCTCGATAACTCCAATGAGGCTAATGACTATAAATTTATTAAATGGATGATACGAAATAAAGTATATGTCTCTAAAATAAAGTTATTAATATTAATAATTCATTGTTTATTCCATAGAAAATATCGGCTATACCCGTTACTGTATTTTATAGCGAAGGGCATAAGCACCTCGGACAGAATTACATTCGCTTCTGCTTTATGAAGGTAAAAGAAAGTTTTCTATATAAAAAAAGAAGATAAAACTATAAAAAACACTTTACTTTTCCCATAGTCAAATGAAACACTTTCAAAGGCAAAAGATCTATTTAAAAAATGGTAAAAAAAAACATACATTCATTAAACTGTTCAATATTTCTTATTAATAACTTGAATAAATATTTAAAACAAAATATGACTTTAAACATTTCAAAGAGAAGTTTTTTTTCCTTTTATTTTATCTATTTCTATAGACTTTGTTTATTAAAACATATATAGGAAACGAAAATATAAAACTATACTTTTTAATTTACTTTGAAGGAATTTCTTTTAAAAACTTGTCATATGAAGAGAACGAAAAGAGAAATAACAGTATTTTTCTTTTTGTCTATTGTTATGTATATACACAGTACAACCAGATATATTTTCATAATGTTTTTTCTGGCCGTAATTTCCATATTTGTCTAATTTCATTCTTTCGTGATGATTATTTTTTTCTATTCTGTGATAGACAATTCGTTCATTTCTTCATCTATAGCTTCCTGTTAACATTTAAATTAAATAATTGCTTTATACTATTTCTCTTATTAAAACAAACCATATCGCTATCTCCATCGCTGTCAGTAGAAATTTCTTCGATAACGGCTTTGGCCTGTTCTAGTATTTTTACAATATCTATGCATCCTCTGCCCAAAGCTGATTGCAGTGGTGTATATCCCGAAAATGTTCGACAATTTAAATCTATTGAGTGGTTTAACAATGTCTTTAATAATTCGGCTTTGCCTTCTTCAGCGGCAATATGCAATAAACTCTTTCCGCTTTTCATATCGTGTAGATTAACTGATTTTTCGAATGATGATATAGTTAATAATAACGAAACAATTTCCAAATGATTGACAGCTTCATGTAGACAAGTTTGGCCTGTTTTTATGAATAGGAAAGTATGAATATTTTAAAGAAATATCCATCTATATATATATATAGTAGATTCTAAAAAAAACTACCGTTAAAATTATAAATATTAGGTGATTGTGGAATTTTTTGAAGTGGCTTTTCCTCGAATATCATACATTTCTCTTCATCAAGAACTAAAGGTTTAATCAATGCAGCACAGCATTCTAAGTATCCTAATTTACAAGCCAAATGTAAAGGTGTATTTCCGTATGAGTCTCGAGCTGTAACTGAACTTCCATTTATCACCAAAAATCTAACTAGTCTCGGCAAATTTTGTAAAGTGGCTAAGTGGAGTACAGTTTGCATCTTGTTGTTGGATATACAAAAATCTTTAGGTTCAGAAGCGTAACTTATCATCGCCACTGACAAGTGAACATTTTTATGTATAATCGATAAGTGAAGTTTTCTAGAATGAAAATAAGAAATTTGAAATCATTAGCTAATATGAAAAAATTCAAGTACTATGCTATAAACTTACGTATCTCCATCTTCATCAGGACTATATAGGAACCGATTTATGGCCTCTCTGTTACCATTTAATTGCTTAATAATATTCCTAAATTGCTCCAATTCCGAGTTTTTTCTCATATCATCCACTGCATTTGTTTTCCACATTTTCATGCAAGATCTTTCAAATTTTCTGTAACAAACTAGAACTTGTCTCCAATCATCTTTAAATTCAGCTTGACTTTTTATAGTTTGTGGTTGACCTACTATATCCATATTTTTACTTTCTCCAGGAAATCCGGATTTAAAATATGAACTGTTGAAGTGACTTGCCTTTGGGGAAAGGCAACTCCATGGTTTATCAATATTTTTAACAGACGACTGCGTTTCACAAAAATAGCTGCTGTCAGATGATAAGCCTATTCCAGAGTCTGATGAGATTTCATAATCATTCCCAATACTGTGTGAAATTTTGGCAGATGCAACATTATGTTTATCCATTTCCAATCTATCCACTATTTCACCGTTTAGAGCTGTTATAACATATGACACGGACGTTAACTTTATAAGATAATTTTTCGAATCCAACATAGGACTATTAATTTCTTTTTAAATTATCAAATATTGCTTCAAATTCAAAAAAATAGACACCACGACGTGGAAAATCCACTGTACTAGTTGGATAATATACTACAGAGGGAGCCTCAAAGGGCTTATTGATTTTTTTCAATACTGTTCCTCTTTTCATTTACTTTACCTCTATACTTTCGATTTAGAATACATTTGATTTCCATATTCTATGAATGGTTTTTTTAAATGAAATAAATTTCTAGAAGAAGAAAATTACTATTTAAATACATTAAAAACATTGCCGGTCTTATTTCTAAAGGCAAAACACAGTAAATCATAAGCTCTATTAAGGGCTGCTTGTTACTATGCATCTTAGGTTTTAAACTGTTATTACCTTGAATTTTTCCTATAATAGCTACATAGAGTGAGGAACATATTTTCTATAGATATCATTAAAGAGTTAGCTAATTTCAGCAAAATAATTCAGCCATCGAGTTTTCTATCATTCCCTCTCATTCTCTTCAAAGACGGTACAAATGCTTCAATCCACTAACGACATCTCTGGTGTAAAGTTTGAACTCTTTAGAATACAAGTCATGTGATTTGAAATGATCATGTGATGTCAATCATTGAAAAGAAAATAAAGACTTTGAATAATGCTCCTAGTAACACTTCTATTAGGTAATGTGCATAAATTTAATACAATCTATAAATACATTAAAAACTCGATAAAAATAGCAACGTGCTTCTCTATTCTGTACGGAAGTAAGTCGGTTTTCGTTTGCTATTACCCTGGAGGTGCCGATAGAGCAACAGAGAACCGCCTCCCTATCTCAGAAATACCACCAAATTTATGCTCCCATTTAATATTTGCGTTCTCTCATCTTGAAGACTTGCAATTAAAACCCCAAGTTAAAGAAGATGTACAGTTATACTCAAAATTTACTGCTTTAAGATTAAGGAATCCAAATTTGGAGACATTGCTTTCAGTTGGAGGTGGCGGTTATGGTTCAGCTGAATTCCTAAAAATAGTTGCTTCTCCGAAAAACACTTCCATCTTTATTAATGTAATAATTGCGCATTTTTCAATTATCAATATCAAATTACCTTTTCATAAACAATCATAAACAGAATGCTGTTAGATGCCTGCGTAAGTACAATTTTACCGGCCTAGATATTGATTGGGAATTTCCAATGGAACATAAAGAAGAATATAGTATCTTATTAGAGGTAAAACTCTATTATTCTACTAGGCTACTAGTGTTTTAATGAAGAAGCTATGCCTTTTATATAAATGTATTTCCTTCGATTCTTCTTTTTATGCCACAGAGGATTAGAGAGCGTTTCGATAAGGAAAAACTATTATTAACAGCTGCTTTAGGTATTACTCCTGGTATCGTGCAAACAGGTTATGACGTAAGAAGAATTTCTAAGAGTCTTCATTTAATGAACTTAATGTCATATGATCTAAATCCTACCAATATGACTTGGGGTCAGAGTCCTCTGCATAGAGTGCAACACGGTGACGCTTTTTATCAGAAAAATTTAAACTTTGTTAGTTTACTATAAATATTAATAAAATATAAAATTTTAGTATTATTAAATGCTCTATCAATCATAAGTCTTTTTCAATTTAAGGATTGGCTGTACGATTACTGGGTGAAACAAGGAGCTATACCATCTAAACTTGTAGTTGGCCTACCTGTCTATGGTAAAGAGTATGTTTTGAAAGATAGAAATTTAGATTTACCAGGCTCGCCTGTTCAAGGCCCGCCAAAATCGGTGAATTATTACAGTATATGCCGCACTTTAAAAAATAATTGGAACTACTGGAGGTGGGAAAATCAACAATTTTACCCTTTCGTTGTTAGAGGCAACAAATGGATAAGTTATGATGATAAAAGTAGCATAAGAGCCAAGACATTTTGGGCCGTTAAAAAACGTTACGCTGGGGTAATGATATGGCAAATGCAGGGTGATGACGTCACCGGTAATTGTTTCAGTGGGTTAAAGTTTCCTATTTTGAGAGCTATTAAGGATATTTTATTAAATGAAATCTATTAACTCAGTTATCGACTATCTTCACTTGATTGATTAACAACAAATATATATAGAAAATGAATTTTTTATGAACTCTATAATGAATCCGAAATGTTTTCCTTTTTAGGTAGAATTAATGAATTTATTTGACGCCTTGTCAGTTTCCTACAATTCTTCAAAAACCATTGTATAATTTATCTAAATAAAATATAAAAGTAAAAAAATTTGTCAGAAGTGGGATTTGAACCCACGCCCGCATTCGCGGACCAGAACGCCCCTGCTATGCTAACACTTTGCATAGTAAGTTAGTACTTGAGTCTGGCGCCTTAGACCACTCGGCCATCCTGACATCTATACAAAGTCGTGTATCTAGGAAATATATATCGAAAAGTCAATTCTTTTGAAAAATAATTTTCTTAAATTGGCAGCATTTTCGTTTAGATGTAAATAGGCAGGGATTTTGTCACTCAATACTGATAATCATAATGACACCAAATTATATTTTTCTGACTCTAATAGCAAATAATGATGCTGGATATATATCAGTAACAATGTTACAAAAAAAGAACAAAGGACCGACAAGGAGGTTTTAAATTCATAGGAGTAAAAGATACATATATACACTGATGTATACAAGATAAGTGCGTGTCTATATGTATTGATACTTTATATATATGCTGTTATTTACTAAATATCTCAAATATTGTAACTCCATCCTTCTAATTAGCTGTACAAGATTAGTTAAATAACTATAATTTAATAATAATTAAATAAAATATATAAACAAAGTCTCTCTTTTGATGGAGAGAGAAAGAGAGAAGGTTTAAACCTTAGATATATACATATATATATCCCAGAATATATTGTCTAGAAATAATGAAAATAAGGGATTAGTCACGTGGGTAACGTGCATTGAAAATATTTTTACATTATATGTGTGAAAAAGAACAGAATAGACTTAATTGCGGTCAATAAATGCTTTTTGCAGACTATTATGGTAACCTTGCTATGTATTTTATAGAAAATCTCATATTCTAGTTCTAATTGACTGCTTCTGGATCGTTAATAAATAAATTTATGCATACAAATGTCATGGGGTATACTACTTGATAGAATGATCCTTGAAAACAAAGATAGACTGAATTATGGATAACAAAGATATTTATGCTTAAGAATATATTTTAAGATATGTATGACAGGATCATAAACTCCAACTCTCTCTCTTTCTTTTTCTCATTGTTTCGTCCTCAGGTATTTTCCTAGGAATTTATTAATAGTTGAAGGGAAATTACCAATATATTACCTTTTTCAAACAGTATTTAGGATTAACCTTTACTTGATCTTTTTAGCGAAAATGTGATAAAATTTGTATTGATTAGACGATATGAGGGAGAGGAAATTTCATTTTGCTTTAAATTCTTTATTACCTAAATAACCAACATGGCAGTGTAAACTACAAAAGAATATAAAAAACGTAGTTTATTAGTAATACGTATATCGGGAGTGTTTGTTAGGAAAATAAACAGTTCTTGGACTCAAATATATATAATAAATAAATAGCCAACATAGTATGATTTAATAGTAATCAATTTAGAGGCAAAAGGTCATTTTATGGACAATAATTAGATATTTCGATTTTGTAAAATGAAAGGAAATAGAAACGTGTTCTAACTAGTAAATATGAAAAGATTTCTAACTGTATAAAAAAATCGACGTATTTGTCACGAAAGTCTTCCATCGTTCACATCAATTAGGATACATTCTTCTTCAAGGATCTTTGCTTTTAGAAGGGTTCTAATACGGAGAGTCCTTAACATTGATATTTTCCCTTAAGAATCTTATTCAGCTGAAAAAAACTAGAGACATTTAGCAGACGCTAAAAACTATTAAAATTGTTGTTTATAAAAAATTCAAATTGTTCAAAGTGTTAAAATTTAATCAATATATTTCTTTAAAGGTAAAAATAGCATTGATGCTCTGAATATTTATATTTTTCATATATACTGTATATATTAGTATATACTAATATATACAGTATATATAATTCGTACTGTTTATTAATAAAGCATCTCTATTTTGTTTGTCATCTTCTTATAGTATAGAATTTTCTTTTTGAATATATTTGATACCACTGTGATTAGATGCTACTCTGTTATCATAATTAATTGCCATATTTATTTTCCTTTGATATATGTAGTACAGCTACTAATGTATCAGAATCAATATCCATAATCACGCAATAAATAAAATTATAATGGTATTTTTCATGAAGAAGCCAATTCCCCTACTATCTATTTACTTTTATCTCCATCTAGTGGACGTATTCAACCTGTTAAGTATACAAGATCCTGGTGGGGATTAGTGTCTGTTTCTGGAAAGAATCAATTTCTAGTCATGTTCTAACTAAATACTCATAGCTTTTCTTGTTGACTAATTATTATGTAAAATATATCAATTTTTATCATTAATTCGATAAATGAATAATTTATTAAAGTATTAGAAATATAAATATATTGGCGAAGCTTACGAATTGATCATGGAATAATCTACGTAATAAACTGATTTTTTTTATAGTACCCGTATTTTTGACTAATTAGCAAAAACACCGTATAACATCAAACATTCCGTGCACTAATTAAAAAGCAATGGCTAATGAATTAAATTATTTTCTTATTTGATAAGGTTTTTTGAAGTAAAAGATTAATTTTTCGTAAAGTCTAAATGAACCATATAAAAATATGCACTTATCTTCATTAACACAGTTAAGCCTGCTCCTAATATTTTACCTTTATTTCATCAATACCATAACATTTATACACGTATATATTTAGGTGAATATACATATTATTTCCCTTTTTTTTTCATTTTCGCATATAATATGCATCAATTAGTCTGCTTAATTTATACAAATATTACAAAAAATATTATTTTCATAATAAAACCTTATACAGATGTAAACGTATCATTTCATCAATAATACAGTAATCAGCATTTCATCTTGCCTCTTATAATGCACGTTATGGACTAACAAAATGTAAGAAATTTACAAACAAATACATATAATATTTTTATTTTATTATTAAAAGTATTAATATACTTTCTTTTAAAGAAGGCGAACTTTTCTTATTTCACTTTATGAGATGCCATAAAAAAGTGTATGTGTTATTTACCATATTCAGTTAATATTATTTTATAGGTATTGTTCTCAGAAGTTTGTTAAGATTGTAAAGAATATTTTGAATATTACGTATTACAAGTACATCACACGTATAATGATATGCACATGTTCTTATATACTGTATATATTCAGTTCATTTTAATATGAAAAGTTCTCGTTAGCAACAGTTAAACACTTCATTTGATACGTTTTAATAGGGCGTTTCCAAGTACTATCATGTAGAATTTTCTTTGAAGTTTTAGTGGATTTATCATGTTAAATGTAAAAGTTATTTAAAATATGCTAGGGTCAATTTTTTTGTTTAAAAATAACATGTACACAGGTGTGCTTTATAAGTGAAACAAAAGTGAACATATCAATCTATCGTTGCCTCTCTTTTTGTAATTATGTAAGTATGCATAAAAAGACTCCTCTGTCTCTGTTTTTCTTTCTATCTTACTCTCAGTAAAATAGCTTGAAAATATAAATGATAATTTTTTGTACAATAACCTTTGGTTGTCTTCTTCTGATTCTTTTTTCAAATTCATAGGCCTGTGAGGCAAATCTCGTTTAAACTATAATAGAAATCGCTGAGAGTCAATATTGACAAACTTTTCAAACTTCCTGTTTACCACGGCTGTTTGCAATAAAGGCCCATTTTTCTCCTGAAAAGATTGTTTTCATTTTCCGATCACGTAGGCTTAAATCATCATAAATAAAATATTTTATTTTAAAAAAGGTTCGACGATCCTGTCATCCGTCCTTAAAGGACTGGCTATTTTAAGATATTTTGTTATGATTAACTGTAAATAAAGTGATAATAGACAAAGAATAAACTGTTGAATGCTTATTATAATTTGAGATTTGTATTCGTCAAATCTTCCGTAGAATAAAAAAGAAAACTATAAATCAATAATATATCGACTGTTATACCTTAGTTTTTCTTTTTTAACCAATTAAAAAAAGACCAGGATGGTAAAAAGTAAAATAAAAAAGTTTTATCTTTTTACAATACCATTACCAAGAAACACTCTGAAGGTAGCAACCAACTTGTTAATTCATTGTTGTGCCTCTCAGTCATCTCAGTTGCATTGAGAATGTTAGAAGGTGTAAAAAATCGATTAGAAATTGGAGATGAATTGTTACAACAATGCTATTCAAATTCTATAAACGTTACATTTATTCAGGTATTACAAATATAATTTCCCTTCGATTTTTTCCTATCGGAAAAAGGTACTCAGTTTTCGTATTATTCCACTTTTGATAGTTCAATAAACTTAATACAATGACTTGTGCCTGTAATAATACTTATTAATTTATATTTCTTTTTTAATCTTTCGATTGTCTTCTTTTTAAATGCGCCATCTTTCTATTATCTTCTTCATACTTTCTTCTTTATATTACCGTCCCTCTTTCTCCCTCTCTCTCTCTCTCTGTCTGTCTGTCTCTCTTCTCTATTCATCATCATCTACTCTTTTTAATATATTTGCCTTAAAGATTTTTCATTGTACATGAATATTTGTGGTTTATTCCTATACTATTTATAACGGTGTATTTCCATAAATACGCTGTTTTCTTTCTATGCTCTGCTTGGTATACAATATAGATGAAATATGAATAAATTTGCTAATGTTAAATATAAATATATAGGCTAATTATTTACGTATTTGTATACAAATATACGCCTAAATTTTCCTTGCTGTAATTCTTTGCTTGAATACCGTTGTTGAATAATTAAGAATATTTCTTTTAAAGTATAATAATGACTCATTCTGTCTAGTTTGCAATAAGGTTGTATAAAAATTTTTTATATATGCTATTAATGTTTATCACCAGCGTAACGGCGAGGGGAAGAGAAAGCAAACCGGAAAAGTCAACCGCGCTACGGAAGTCGTCTTACTACCGTAAAACGTCCGTCTTCGGACGTTTTAACGCATTTCCTTAATCGCGGGTGTTTCTTTCGACTAGGCCTAGCAGAACAAACGCTTTTGGATCGATCGTAGTCATAACAATTGGAGCCTGCGTTTGTCGATGTAGACTGTCGACCGGAAGTTAGGTGAAAAAAAGCGTCACCAATAAATATTGACAATTTCGACCCTTTCTTCACAATTGTTATTGTTATGTTTATCCAAAACGAGCTGAAGTAGGCTTGCTCCCTTCTATTCTTCATACTTCCTCTCGGTTGATTGTTTACTTGAATAATGCTGTATACATGAAGTTGTCATTTGAAGATGAATGGAAATCTATTCACAACTCTTGAACAAGAACAAATAAGTTATTATAATGTAAACTAACAACAAACAAAATATCATTAATCATGTGGTTAAACAAATGAAATTATACCTGTTTTAGAATCAACCAATTATTTATTGGTTAAACATAAGTAATCAAAACAAATTTATACTTATAAAAGTCATAGCTATATAACCCCAACTTTATAATTGTTATCAAATAGATAGTATACATATATATATATATATATATATATATTGATGCCTTTTATTAACAATAGAATATATATCTAATTATATAAATACAAAAATTGTATATGTGCTTATACCTATATATATATATATATATATATATATATATATATATGTATATAGATAAACATATATGAATAAATTGATACTTATTTATATAAACTGTAGTTTTGTGTATATTTGTAATTTCTATATAGACGAGAGAAAAGTAGGTTGGCAAATATATTCAATTATTTTATATTTTGATAAGTTGCCATACAGTTGCATGCTCGACATTGTTCATTGATAAAACGCTATAAAAAAATATAGTGTCAGTTTACACTTTACATGAATATGATGCGTGATAAACAAAACAGTGCGATACTCTTTGCACATACTTTGTATTATTATAAGAATTATATATTATCTAAATATATACAGTATATATATATAGTTTAAATTAAAGGATCTTTTGATGTCTTATTTCTTAGATATATAAACAGTAGCTCTCTTCTTTGTAGCCACAATTTTAACATTTATACTACTTGATTCATTTACATCTTCCTAGTTTTATCATATGCTTCCTCTTTCCTTAAACAATAAAAACGCAAATATATATATATATATATATATATATATTAATAATTTAAGGCAAATAATCTAATCTGAAAGAAAAAAAGTAATTAAACAAAATTTGTTTATATAATAATTTAAAGAAGTGATTAACAATCAATTGAATATAAATTTTTGAATGAATTCAATAAGCTTTCAAGACTCGTAAGCTTTTTTTTGTCTTAATATAAATATAATTAAGTACACTTTTTATTTTTATGAATAAAAAGTGATATTTTTCTAGTTAAGATGTAAATGTCATAGTACATATAATATATTAATATCAATTTTCATGGGTCTTTTTATTTAACATTCGCTTTGTATTAAAGTATCAAATTAGTTTTTGATACAATCTCTCCGCCAAGAACAAGAAAGTTCATTATATAGAGTTTAATGTATGTAGACTGTATGTCTTAAGTAATCCCTTTTATTGCCTTTCGTGTTTATAGATTGTAATGTTCTAAAATCATAATACTCTCTAATTTTATCCAATTTCTAATTAGAAAAGAAAGTTTCTTTATTTATATTTAAAAAAAAGCTTTTTCTCTCATCAAAACAAAGTAATATAGTTTATTTTTAAGTATATCTTCTATGTTATTTCAATTCCTATAATTAATAATTTTTTTTCTTCTTCCCTTACCACTTTTCTCTCTCTCTTCTACTCTCTCTATGTCTTTCCTCTCTGACGCTGATTTTCTCGTTCATTTTCCACAAATAGATATACATATATAGAGCATATTTCATGTATTTTATCTTATATTCAAAGCGACTGAATTCATCGCACTCATGCTTTCATTTAGATATATATATACATATATATATACTGTATACACTTATTCATCCGTTCCCCTCCTCCATTATACCAATTTCAATATGGATTTAATTATTGAATAGCAAGACAGAAAAAAGAATTACTTTGGCAATTACTCGTTAATTGTTTAGATATTAAGGAAATAATTTACATATAGCTTTGTGTTTTATGTATGTACGTGAGTTTATCAATTCATTCAGTAAAATCAAAACAAAACACCAATCAACCTATTTTATAGGTTATAATTCAGTAATTTGCTTTAATTGATAAAGATGATGAAAATAGAAAATAAATAAAAGAAACAAATTCCATAATTATTGATATAATAAAGTTTTTCAAACTTTGTATATTTTTTCAATGTTTCAGAGAAACGGGTAACAAGATAAGAAGAAAAAAATAAGAGAAAATATTTATATAGGCTTAAATTTTTTTTGATTTTTTATCTTTTTGACTTATATTATGTTTTTTATTGCTTTTTTTGTTTTTATTAACGAACAGTGTTTCTGCAAAAAGAAAAAAAAGAGAGGCGAATCAAGTTTCGAATAATTTTTTTGTTCTCTGAAAAAAAGGCGCGTAGCGTGTACAAGTTCATTTTTTGCATGTTTTATATACAAATAGGCCTATCACAGTTCGAATGCAGTTTGATTATCTTTTAGTATTTTTTTCTTTGCGGTATATTTTTTCATAGAGTATCCAAATCTCGATCTTTAAATGGAACTTCATCTTCTTCTTTACTAGGCGGAGTAAGTCGTCGTAATTCATGAGTTTCATCTGACACCTTGTTGCTTTTTTTTCTCTTCTTTTTTGCAGAACCTTTAGAACTAGAACTTTCTGCCCCTGAACCGTTAGAGCCCGGTCTTGAAGGAGGGGTAACTGTTCGTCCTTGCGGAGAAGAAGGTGTTTGTGGTATTTGTGGAGGTGGTGGATGATGAGGAATAACTCCCGGCCTATGCCGTGGCGAACTTTGCAGACTACCTTTTGGAGAGGTTGCAGATCCAGATGAGTCTGTTCCGGATTGCAAGCTTCTTGAACAAGAAGTTGAAAAAGGTGTTGAATTTGGCGTAAACATTTTTAAAATATCGCCTATTTGTTCATCAATTTTTGTCATTTTCGTATTGAGACTTTCAATTTCTTCCTTTATTTCAAGCTTTATGTCGTATAAAGATGCTATCAATTGCTGTTCCGCAGGGGAGAGCGTTTGAGTAGACTGTGGAGGAGGAGGTTGTTGATGAGCAACTCCGGAATCCAAAGATTCCGTTTTCTTTAACATGGTTGACCGTTTAATGGCTGAAAGTGGAACGGAGCCAGCAAGCATTCCTAGAGCACTATTCTCGTTCTCCTCTTGAATAACTGGTTCCTGCTGGCCAAGAATTTTGCCCCATCTAGACATTGGCTTCTTTAAAGGAGGGGTTTCTGTTTTCTTGGTAATTTGCGCAGCCAAGTTCTTTGATGCATTATTATTGCCTTCTTCGAGCGCTTTAACCCATTTTGACTGCGGCTTTGTCTGCTCCGGTGTTTTTGCTTCTTCCAAATGGTTGACCTCACCCTTTTCAACATCAGTTGATACAGTGAGTTTGTTATCACTGATCTTTCGGAACCTAGATATTAGTTTTCTAACTGGATGATCTGTTGAGAGATCCAGAGGAGGATCATTTTTCCTTTTCTCAGCTAATTCTTTCTCTCTTTTAACATCAGCGAGTTTTCTAAATATCAATCTATGCCTGAGATTGTATGTCAGAGTTAAGTTTCTCGCGAAGGAGTTTGCAAAAGCGTGATAAAATTCAAGTACATCAAGCAACCGCTCACGTTTTATTACGTGCAAATCGCAATAAGTCAACGCTCTAACGTTAGCTGTTGATTGTCCTATAGTCATTTCCTTCCAAAATAAATCTCCGAAAACGTCACCTTTGCCTAAAATGGCAACTACCTCGTCGTCCTGAATGACTTCTAAGGAGCCGGCTACTATAAAGCATAAAAGGTCCAGAGATTCGCCCTGATGGAAGAGAAGATCCCCTGGAGCGCTGTGGCTCATACTGATATGGACGGCCAGGGCTCTCAAACATCCATCACTAGCTAGCCGGAAGGCGGGATGTTCATTGAAAACATGCCTGTTTAGATGCACGCAAATGTCGGCTTTCATGTCTTTTGGACAGTAATTGAGCACCTGTTTTGAAAAGAGGTGGTATTTACTAAAAAACTACGTTGTTTGTATTCATTATATTGTGTAGACTTTTTTTATGCATAAAGAATCAAATAAAATCTTATGAATCTTTAATAAGTAGAGTTAGAATAAAAACTACTGTAAAAAATATATTGAACAAATTATTTGAATGAAAGAGAGATCATTTTTCCTTGGAAATCTGTTATATTTAGCAAAGCTTTGCATACTCTCAGGTAAATTGTAGTTAGATTAAGTGTTAAGAAAACTTTCATCCTTGTGGTCCGCTTCAGATTTAATCAGTTTTCGACAGTTTAAATAGTCTAATATTTCCTGACGAGCCTCGAAAAAAATCGAATAAAATCTAGATCAATATGGAGTCTATTTCCTACCTTAATTAAAACTCCTCTATTCAGTCAGGTGCGTCAACGTTTATACTTATAACGTCGACTTTGTCTATATGTCTATGTTGTCATGACAACAGTGTGTTGTCTCTTTAAAATATCATCAAGTGTGAAAAAGTGAGACGAACCTTAGTAGTATCGATTCCCTTAGTGATAGCCCATGTAGATACGACATAATCCATGACCCTTTCGTTAAGTGCCTTAGGAACGTCATGCAACTTCATAAATTCCCTAACGGAATTGAGTATTTCATGATAACGTCCTGTGTTCGAATACATTTGTTGGAAAATAGTTGTCACATTACCGAAGATGGAGGCGTAAAGTAAAGCTGTAAAAATTAGATATAATTGATTAAAATTACTGTAAACTAGAAGTAATATCTATAAAAAATACAGTGTTCTTCATCAGATATTCATACTAAAGTAGGAAAGAGAAGAAAGGAGGCAAATATAAATTCAAAGATAAAATATTTACCAGTATAATTTTACATATAAGAGATAGAAGAGATAGTTTTTTTATAGATATCTATATATACTTATATATATTTATATATATACTAATATATGCAGTATATACATATTTTCTTTTCTGTACCTCCCTTTTTTTGTGGTCATTAAGTAACTAAACTGCGTATACCTTATGTTGTAATAAGAGTTCTATATATGATATAAAATATTAACATGATGAGACGTTGTCAATTTCCACTTTTAGTTTAATGAAGAAGTTTAATTATTCTATATTTCTCTTAAATATATCTCTTTGGGCGGAAAAAAAAGAAAATATTGATAACTATTGAATTTACCGATTGGATGAATAATGATTTTGTTTGTTACGTAGGCAATATGCTTATTAAGCGTTCTAATAAGTCACCTCATAGACTATTTATCACTATATCTTGTAAAAAATATTTATTATATCTGTTTACATGCTATTTACTTTAGTCATGTCTCTGTTAAATATAAAATTTTCCAACAAACCACGCATAATGACAAACTAATTAAGAACATGTAGGTCATAATACTGCAAAAAATAGATAGATGGCCGAATTTTTTTTTAAACATCAGTTTTCATTTTCAAAAGATTCGTCTCTCTCTCAGATAAAAGTATAGGTATTTTTTTTAAACGTTTTTTCCCTCCCCTTTTCCTCATTCTACACTAAGTAAACTAACACACACACACGCATATATATATACATAGACATAGACATAGACACAAGCCTTTTTAGCTTTTAGAAAGAATAATAATCAATTGATTTTTTCTTTTTAATCGATTAAATTAAATTTTCATCTTTTATCATTTTCTCTTTTTCTTTTCTATTTCAAACATATAGAAACTACTTTGAAAATATATATATTTTTTTTGTTCAAAGTTTATTACGAGATTACCAATCAAAAAAAAAAGAAAGACCATTAAATGTTAATCATTTATACTTAATATAGAATAAAAGTCATGCAAGAATCCTCTTAATCTTAATCGGATTTGAAATTAGTGTTATATATTTAAAAAACAGATAGATAAGTTGTCGAAAAAAGGCTACACGCATACCGTGTTTATATATTGGAATATTACAATGTTTATCATAATCTTAGAACTTGTATGGATATATACTTATAAAAGATTATTTGTATATCCTTGAAAATATTTTGATGTTCATTTAAATAAATTTTGCTCTAATATATCTTTGATCTAATTTTGATTTCTTTCATGATTTTAATTAAAACTAAGTTCTTTTTCTATAAATCTTTGGCTAATTGCGCCAAAGAAAAATCAACAAAGCTAAGGAAATGAATAAATACCTTCTTTAAGTTATATTTTATTCAATTTTTTATTCTAAAATCTATATAATAAAATTAAAAACATATGGATTTTTTTTTGTTTCGAAGAATGTTCTTTTCATCTTTTATAGTTTATCCCTCCTGCTGCCCCCCCCCCCTCTCTCTCTCTTTCTTTCCTCATTTAATAGAAAACGAAACATAGAACAAAAAAGGGTAGAGTATAAAAGGAATGCAATAATTTTTTTTCCTGCTTTTACATCTATAATGTAAAGGATAAATTAATAGACTTTCAATCAGGGAAAACGGTTCCATTTCTCAGTAGATCATGATCAGGTGGGGGAGTTCTTAGAAATTTGACAAAAATAGCACCTGTCATGATACTGTCTTTGATGAAAATCCTAATTAAGAGTGATTTCTCTGAGATTTTTTTTTGTCAGTTCAGCACTTGATATCGTAACTAACATAAATGATTTCAAGTCGTGACATTACAAAACAATCAAGAAACTTTATAGTTTGAGTGAAAGCTAGGAGATAATTTCATAAAAAAATGTTTTGGTTTTCGTAAACTCCTAAAAGTAAAAGCTTTTTTAATGTACTATCTAATAAACTGCATTAGTTTACAAGTTATGAACTTGATATTGACTAATATAAAAGAGTAAATGAATGATACTTACATCCCAAAATCATCATACAGATGGTGAAAATTTTTTCCATTTCTGTGTTAGAGCTAACATTTCCAAAGCCAACTGATGTCATACAGCTTAACGTATAGTAAAGGCTAGTTGCGTACGCTTGACCGTCAGTTGGCCCTCCTAAAAGAATATTTGTACCATTTTCTACTTGATAGTATTCTCTTGTTTCGTTTGCCAAGCGGGTTAACCATCCAAATTTAACTCCGTCTTTTACTTCCGCATGACCAATACTATACCAAATGCAAGCCAACCAATGAGCTACTAATACGAACATGAATATGAGCAAGACCAATACGGCTGCACCGTATTCCAAATAATGATCAAGTTTTCTTGCCACTCGTCCAAGTCGTAACAGCCTTACAACTTTTAAAGCGCTAAAAAGCGAGCTAATACCGTCGTTGACGTGTTGGAAGGCATTGAAAACGTCGTAAGGAAGGCAGGACAATAAGTCTATGACAAACCAGGTCTTCAAATAATTCATTCTTATAATCCGTGGATCGCTGACTACTTCACCGGCAGCTCCAACAAAAGTTGTATGAAAATTGAGGATAATATCAACAAAAAAGACTACGTCCACTATTGAATCAACAACAAGTAGTGGGACGTCATCCATTGTTTTATTTTTAAAAGCTACGTTGTAAGGAACCATTACAGCTGTATAGAAGGTTAAAACTAGGATAATCCAATCCCAAGTTGCTTTAAAGAAAGAATAATGAAGTATAATGTGCGGAGGAGTCTTTGGTGCTTCTTGACGATATTGAGGGAGTATATCCGAATTTAAGTTCATCATCTGGTATTAAGAGAAGACATAAATAATCTAATTTAAGAAGTATTTGAGCGAAGGGAAGATTTGTTAAATGATTATAGTTCTTTTTCTATTTTTCAATGACACGACGGTACTGAAATTCTTTCAGAGGACATGTTTAATATTTAATACTTGGGAATGAAAAGGCAACTATATCTTTTTTCGGGAAGAATTTTACAGTTTCTCACTAATTGGAAACTACAAATATGTCTAATCTGAACAAAGAACTCATCTAGTTCTCAAAATTATATGGATAAACGGCTAAACTCTTTGGTAATTCGCCATTTAGCAGCAGGTTAAGGGAACCGGAAAGCAGCATGAAAAAGCCTTTTTTCTCTCTTTCATAATTTTTTGATGCCCAATTGAGATACTTGAACAAAAGATGTATATTTTCAAAAATAATAACTTTAGCCTATAATTGAACTAATATAATGCCAATACAATTCTCTTTTTTACATATTTTTAACTTATATCAATAAATTATCTATTGTAAATGTATAACAATAGAAAGATAGTGGAATTTTTCACTTGAAATTATGGAACGTTTTCTTAAATTGAACCAATACTAAATATTTTTTTCACGTCGCTAAGCAACAAGCAAACACTTTCTAACATAATACTGATAAACCCCCACCATCTTTTTTTTTCCTAGTAATAAATCTTTATCAGGAGAGAGTATAAAGTCATTTAGGCTAAAAATAAAAGTCTAAAACGGAAACTTCTAAAAAACCTCTTTTAACCAATTACACTATTGAGTTTTGAAAATGACGTTTCTTCAATTAATAAATGTTGTTTTCATTAAAGAATCACTTCGATAATAATTCTAAACTAGCATTTATACCTAGCTACGTAGTTTACAATTGTATATACTTTAATTGATGGAGAACTAAGAAAGTTTTTCCAAATATATCCATTGAAAAAAACTACTCAGTATTTATATCGCATAGGAATAGCTGTTTCAGAGTAATAATGAATTTTTTATTAGTATTTCGTCATCTAAGTGAAAAAATGACTACTTAACTTGTTTTGATAGATATCTGCAAAAGCAGCAAATAAGTAAAAAACATATCCTAATATGGATCTTTAACTACTTAACAATAGTTATTACGTAATTATTCATCTTGAACTTAATTATATTTAAAATATTTAATAAATATAAATTATAGAAAATGAAACAAGAAGTATAAAATAGAAACAAGTTAGGCTGATCAATTGAGAGTTATTAAGGTACTCCTACATTTTAATGGATGGAAAATGGGAATGGTAAAATTTTTACATGTATCTTTTATAAAAATATTATATAGTATTCAGTTCTCGCTGACTTTTATTGTATATGGGTTAATAAATAATGAGTATATGACCTGATGTTTTTACATACGCTTTCAATAACTATTGAGCAATATAAATTTTTAAGAGATTTTAGCAAACAAAAAGGTTGCTAAACCTTAGCCATAGGCCTATCTTACACGTCTAACGCACGTATAAAAAAAAGAAATAGTTTTTTAATGTAGCTGATATGTATGTATATATGTGTAGATGGATGGGTTATTATTGTACGTATCATCTTATTCTTTACAACGCCCATTTTTTACTTAAGAACACCTTATTTGACTGCAAAAGGGCAGATATCTTTGTTTTAAAAATAGATTTTTAAGATATGGTTTAATTAAATATAGTTAACAATATTACAAATATAATTTAAGTGAACAAGTTAATATATGCTAATGTTTATATACAATATAATATTACTCTATATTCTATGTATTTTTTATCAAAACATGTCTTTCAAATTGGAAAATGCATTACGATATGGTCTGTATATTTCACAGGTGGATTAATTTATTATAAAGGTACTATATCTAGATTGCTTTTATACGATATTTACGGCTTTCGATGATGATTGCTGTATTGTTCGTATGTAAGTTACAACTTGTCTACAGCTGCAAAAAAAAAATTTATAATGCGTAAAGCATTGATCAGGTCAATGAGCACACCTTTGTTTTCTTT